GACTTGCCACGGTCTCCAACCCTCCTCCTTTCTCATCCGGGCTTGGGACCGGCCATGGCGGAGTTATTTTTTATCCCTCAATATTAATAAGTTATTAATTATTCTCAAGAATTACGATAGTGCATCTAAGTCATTGAAGACATGACTGCCATGTAACACGTATAACACATGCCAATAACAAACGAATCGTTAAAGTACATTAGTTAGTTGTAAGCATCTACATGATGTTGATACAATTATATAAGCTCTGCATGCTTATTGCCTTTATCTTACCTGCCATAGAAAATTAACTGCTTAATATCGGTTTTGTGATCAAATAAAATATGGGAGGGGGGAATTGGATCAAATAGCATGGTGACTTGTTGGCACAGCGCGCAAGTGGTCGACTTCGAATTCCAAAAATCTTTGTCCCGGACCAGGAATTGCATTATGCAAGGAATTTGCCCACGTTGCTTCAGTCCGGAGAGGTTAAGCTGAAACTAAGTCGTGGGTTCGAGTCGCCATCAGGATCACTCGCCTTTCTTCCCTCTGACGTTAATAAACGAGCACTACTCAGTGGAAAGGAAGCAGGAAACTGCACCCTGTGCCTCTGACTTAGTTGTTGTCAATTCATCCTTAAAACAAGACACTCATGGCTTATGACATAAAAATGATCAGTTCCCCACCATTAATTTTGTAAGAAAAAGAGCACTAGTATCGTCCCAACTTGAAGTGTAAAGAAGACTGACTTGTTAACAATTGGAAACTTTTTTCTTTGACTATTGGACAGAAAGAGATTGTAAGTTGTATGAGCAAATTAACATGGGCTAGGTTGCACACAATTCATCCTTCAGAACATTTTATTGACATACGACATAGAAAGCAACTTATTTATATACAATACAACACGATCGAATAGGCTATCCGATAATGGTGTGTATCTCCGGATGAAATTCGGTCGTGGTTCGGATCGTCTGCTGCAATTCGTTTGTTATTAGTCGAGATGCTATTACTTTGCTTTGCATATTAATCAATCGTTTTTTGTGCTGTTTTGCAGTATGACTATCATAATAAGAATGGAATACTCGCAAAATTTCAATATCTGCTTCAATGGTAGTCAATTTGCAGCAACATAATTACAGTTGATGTTATCTGTGCGACTTAAACAAGCAATTTCAGGATAATGCGAATAACTGCAAAATGTAGTCAATGGGAGAAGCTTGAATGCCACGGTTAGCATCTACCATAGCGAATTTTCACTATAACTTGTTCTTTGCGGCACAGACAATTAAATTCACTTGATAAACACCCGTGTGCAAGTCAGCCACTATCAAATTGCCGGAGTTGTCAGCGCCAAATGTCGCTTCGTTCAGAGAAAGAGCTGGCGGAAATTCCAAGTTCAGATTTCTGTAGATGCCCTTATCCAAATCTAAGTACCAAACAGATTTGTCCAAAGTGGCTCTTTCAGAAGCGCTGGTTGCTTTATAGCCGATCATAAACCACATTTTGTTATAAAGCGCGTCGAAATACGGTCCGTTGTAATCCCACGGAGGAAATGGTTTTTCTAGCATGGAATGTTTAACTCCTCTTTCTTCGATGAAAAACTCAGTAATTTCGTCCCTTGCCCATCGCGTATTAGGGTAACACGTAGCTATCAAAGCTTTCACTGTTTCGGCGTCGGCTGCAGCTCTCAGCAGCCTGTAATTACGACTTGGGCAGCGGCGGAAAGTATAATAGTACTTGATTTCCACACATTCGCCATGCAGCTCCAAAGTGAACAAGTCGATTGCGCCGTTTTCACCGTTGCACGAAAATAAGATAGCCCCATCTTGGCACGAAGCAGCAACTACCGACCTTTCTCGTTTATTCTAAATGTAAATAATTGTAAATGTGTGATGCGTTAGAAGTAGTTGATGTTGTGCTTTTGCAACCCATGTTAAACTCTGCTTTACGTGATTGTCCAAAATTATATATATGTCACATATATTCGCAGGTATGTTAAGCTGCTGTGTTGAGTAGTGCATGCTTAAAGTAGATTAAGACAGAAGGGAACTTTCCGCAGCACGATGATTGACTTGTCTTTCGTTATTGAAGCTCGTAAAGGAACCTCCAATAAATCTGTCGAATATAGACAGTAAATATAGTGACGCTATCGTGCAACAGCGTAACTGCATGATTTTTACAATTGTTCTCACGAAAAAAGCATGAAACGTGATCGGGTTAGACGGGCTTCAAGTCTTATTCAAAGACGAATACTATATAAACCCGTCGTCGCGACCGACAATCGAACAGTACAATTGAATAGTAGAACTGTGGTAGTCCAAGTCAGTCTTTTCGAAAGTTCTTGGTCAGGTAAGCAAGAATGATGGCTGTAGTCCTAAAGAAACTGATGCAATGAACTGCCATACTTGTAATTGCGGAAAGTATGAAAATGAACACGAAGCAGCAGAGAGTCATCTTGGAGCAGCCATATTCGTGGTTGTAAAATTAAACTTGAAACATATTTTCCTGTATAAGTCTAGGTACCCCATTTCAGTATTTTCAGTGACGCTGTTCACTGCAAATCATATTAACCAGGTAACATTCCCAGAAGGAAGAGGTATTGACGATTGGCGGAAGCATTCAATCAATTAGAGATTGTTACCTTGCGGCAATCAGCCAAGATCGGCTGCAATTAGGCAGACACAATCCATGGGCCTCCACAAACAATCGGAAATGCGATCGATCATGGAAAAGTCATTCTTCTCCAAAAGACTGCCGGAATTGTGAGCTGATCAAAAGCGAGATGGGGAGCATCCATGAAGCGATGAAAGCGCTCGCTACCGTGTACGGTTGTACACGTTCCCAGAATAATCGACCGTTAGTATGTCAAAGAGAACGTTAGAATCGGTTCAATGATAGAGTAAACGGCCCCCAGGAAAACTTACAGATCGATAATGGATCAGCTGAAAATGTTCACTCGATCAACATGGATCAAAATGACAGATAGAAACATTTTAAGTAAAGGTCTAGGAGAGGCCATCGTGCATTAGTAGACGGACAAATAATGAGGATAATCGACTCGAATTTTCAATGTCTTACGCAGGAATGAGAACCGAGAAGGTTTCTCAGATTTCTATTCGCAGTGCTACTTTTTCAAATGTGCCTTGGCCCTCAAGTTCATTAATCCTCTACCGATGTGTCAGATAAAAGTTATTGTCTGATCATAGGCGTCATTCATTCTCGACCGATTTTAAACTGCAATAAGCTATATCCGTCTTCACTCAGTCAATAA